TGCATCTTCATCCTTGAGGGATTGTGGCAAATCATGCATTTGAACCCATAAAGTGACTGTTGATATATCTGCAGGCTCCGCTTTCTGCTCTCCATCCCATTTCTTCAGTGCTATAACTGTGTTGCTCAGGTTCCATGGTCTGGCCTCCCAAACAGCGTCCCTCTGTTCAGTCGACTGGAAGGAGTAGACGAATAGGTTCTCGGCCTCCTTTGTTGCTTGCACCTCGCCATACGCCCTCCATTTGTTCATCGCAGCATTTCGTGCTTTGGGTAGGTTGATGCTGGTATCGGTTATCCACTTCCCTAGGAGCATCGCCATCCCACTACCCCGGGCTCCCACTACTGTGGGTCTCACGTTGAGGATTAGGTGGCTCCTCTCCCCTCTCAGGCTATTTTGTTGGTTATCCATCTTTGTTTGGCTCGAAGTTTTTGGTGAGGTTGGGGGATGATAGGGTTTTGGGATGGATCTCTCCCTGATGATATTACTTCTGGTGGTCTTGTTTGGGCTGAAAAAGGATGATTGATGGCTCGCGTTCCCCACCCTTAAATAGGCGAAGATCCTCTCTGTTGGCCTCCTAGAGATCTTATTGGTCTTGCCGAGCCTGCACCACATTAAATGCCAGATGATTGTTCTCTCTGCCGTAGCTACACCTGTCTTACCACCCGATTCTTGACATTTATGGTGGACTCCCTCAGGCTTTCCACCTTCTCCTATGGAACCTCCCCTTCTTGATAGCCCTTTGCGTGTAGAGTTCGGCGGTTAGTTGGGGCCTGCGCAATTAAGTCTGTATTCCTTCTTCTCTGAGCATTTATGTTTCTGAGTTTGCATTATTGAGCGGCAGCCTTCCCTTGTCACTATCTCAGGTGATTTGTGCCAGTAAATTCCTTCTGTCTCTTTGCATAAGGCTGGTCTGCAGGGAGGAGTAGCATTGGATGTTGCTTCCACTCTTTCCCAAGCTCCAGAGCATTTACTCCCACCGATTCTGCCCCTAGATCTCGTCTGCGCTCCTTTGATTGATGTCCGTTCAGGTGGTTTGGGCGGTGGAGTAATATCTTCTCCGGCTGTTTCTGTAGTGGAAGAGGGCGTCTCATTGGTGGCGCGTCTATTCGGGTGGTTTGGATCATCAATGCGCCAGATCTTGCACTTAATCTCCCTGAGATCTTCGATTAATGCTATCTTCTCTAGGCAGACTACGGCTGTTGGATTGGTGAGGGCTCCCTGGCGGGTAGCTGTAGTTGGATTATTGAAGGCTCCCTGACGGGTAGCTGGAATTGCTCTCGAAATCGGAGCTGGAGAAGTAGGGGAATCGGAGATGGACCGGCGAGGGAAAAAAAAGACAGAGAGAGACAGAGAAGGAGGCATTTTTTTTTTTTGAGGACTTTTCTTTGGACTGGTTCCTAGATCTGTTGATGGTGGAGTTTGTCTTTTGGGGTTTGCTTTTCGGCTGGTGGATTGTGGGTTGCTTTTGGCTGTGTAAAATGTGAGTTTTTGGAGAAATCGATCTACAATTTGATCAGTTAGTGTTAGAGTGCCTGGTATGTCATTGCTGACCATGATTTGTCGTTGTGGGGAATTAATTGGCTATATTGGTTTCAGATATTTTGTGGGAGTCGTCGTACGTCGTGAAACAGCGTAAAGCAGAACGAGTGGTCATTGTTTGCTCATCAGAGGTTGTGGATAGGGGTGGCTATACGGTCCGGTCCGGTTAAATTGGCCCAAATTGATCCGGTCCAGTCCGGTCTTTTTGAAAATATAAGGACCGAAGATTGGATTGGATACAGTCCGGTTTTGATCCGGTCCGGTTTTGATCCGGTCCGGTCCCGATTCGGTCTTGATTTTACATTGAGATTGTGGGATTTGAGTGGCCTAAAGCCTTAAAGGGTGAGCAGTTGGTTAAGTTTTGTACTAAGTGCAAAGGTTTGTGACCGTTTATGCAAATTACCCTTAAGTTTTGGGTGTTGAGCTCTCTTATCCGGTCTTTATCCGGTTTTTTACCTCAAATCTAAGCCCAAAGATTGGATTGGATTGTTTACTATCCGGTCCCGGTCCGGTCTCGGTCCGGGTTATACGGTCCGGTTTCCGGTTTTTAATCCGGTCCCGGTCCAAATAGCCACCCCTAGTTGTGGACCAGCTTGTAAGAAAATAGTGGTTGCTACTTGCTAGCATATTTTCTGTCTTTATCTCCCATTCTGCTGATCGATCACAATAATATCTTCTTTTGTTAATTTGTTTGCTCGAGTATACCAATATTAATTCCTGCAGTTTTCTTTCAAGGGAAATAATGGATGATGATATATACGCCACGCTTGCTTTATTTCCAAATATGTTTGTGTATATATATTATAAAGTTACTCAACGGTGGAGCTAAGAGTGTATAACTCTCAATTCAATTATGAGTTGTAAAATGAACAGGATTATATGATAATGATAAAAAAGTGGTTAAATTTTTCTCCAAATCATTCGAGTTATTGGACCAGTTGATTTCTGATATGGTATCAGAGTTGGTTTCTCGTCGAGTTCACGTGTTCAAATTCATCATATCCCTATTATTAATTAATGTTGTCTTAAAACACATGGTATGTCGGGGACATGCAAATTTCAAGCCGATGAATTGGTTTTGTTTGAGGAAGTACGATTGAGATCCATACATGAACTTTATCCAACTACTCAGAGTTATTGAGAATATAGCTGGTTTATGACTGCAATTGGACTTTGAAAAGTGATAGAAAATTGTTATATCTTCTCATCCTACTAGGATTCAACCAATAAAAGAGCTTTGATTTATTAGTTCTATCTTTATCTTATTATAAATTCTGGTTTCACCATTGCAAAGTAGCTAAGATATTTTATGGATAATTATCTGAAATTACTCGTTTCATGTTTGTTTCTTTGATCTTTTAGAAACCTTGTACTATGTTATTGGCGCTTGGGAGAGGGAGCAACTTTGTGCTCATAATATATAATTTTCTCTTTTGGATCCGAGCATGTGGTGTTTGAGGGTAAGGGAGGGGAAGAATTTTTGGTGTCCAATTCCAAGACTTTGGTTTATTAACACTCTCAAAGACTGAAAATAAGCAAAACAACCACAAAAAACAGCAGCTTTAATTAATTTAGGGTCACCACCACAACTGCCCCACCAGGCCAGAAATAGGAACCAACCTTTGTTTCCATTTTCTTCTTTGATAGTGAAGTAAAAGTAACCTTCGTTTGCTTCCCTTCCCTTTACTTTCCTCTATTTCCACTCTTCCCAGTCCAGGTACTTATCACAGGACAATTACACAACCGATCACTAAAGTTGAGGATTCTCAGCACACTTGCCACTATATATGCTTTTTTAAGTCCGGTTGAAGTTTAAAAAGAATCGATGTCATAGTCATTCTGTCCACCTTCGTCAAGTTTCTTATAAATAGATTTTTCTTCGTAAATCACAGTTAATGAAAAGATTCTCACAATGCGATAGTTATATTGAAAGTTTTTCAAAATACAAAAGTTTGGACTTTTTCGCTATCGTTTGCAACGATTTCGATACTGGTTTGCTAGAAACACGAGTGATTTTAGTATAATCTAGCATAAAATTACGATCATTTGAATTTTTGACGTACGGTGGAGCTAGATCGTGTATGTGGGTAGCCATTTGTGCATATAGCATATGTTGATAACAATATGGTTAAAATCGCTCCCCTTTCAAGCAAACCGATGTCAATATCACAACTAGCCCAAACTTGTCTTTTTTGAAAGAAAAAAATTAGTGTAACAGTGTCTCAAAATGGACGTGATAGGCCTGCACAGATTAATAATAAACGTACTATCGATCCCTTCCAACAAATCAACATTACTTTGTTTATTAACTCCTATCCACTTCACTAAGAACTTCCTTAATTCCTTGTGTCCTCTTAATTAACTAATAGCCAACAATCATGAGAAAAACTCAAATGGAAAATTGTTGGGCCGCGTAGTTGAGCGTAACTGGGCTTCGGGCCCAAGAAGGGCGCGTTCGCAGTCAAGGCCCAATGGGAAAGGCCAGGCCCGGTACGAAGACCGAGTCAGCGGGCGGTCCTTGACCGGCCGCAAACCCGAGAAACGGATAAGGATGTCTGACATAAAGCGACTGGGCGACGCAGAGGGGCAGGGAGCCGTTGAAGATGCGTATCCGGTGTCAGGCAAGACTGAGCATTTATTGCGGGTCTCAGGCGGCCTGCAGAAAGGTAAAAAGCCTGATCGGGACGCCTGACACGGCCCGGGGCGTCCGACAGAGCATTTAATGTCCCAACTACCTTCGAACCAGGTATAAATACAGAGCAAGCTCATTTATGGTAAATCCAACTACGATTCATCTCTCTACTTAAATTCTCTTTCTCTCTCATTCTCTCTCTAACTTAGGCTTCGGAGAGTGTCCCGGGCGACCGCCCCGGACCCTTGTTTTGCAGAGTATTTGGAGAGCCCCCCTCGGTCCCGAGACAGGCGCCTCGCTCCAGCTCCACAAACCGCCTAGTATTTACTAGGCACAAACAATTTGGCGCCCACCGTGGGGCAGAGCGAAGCGCTGAAGAAAGGATGGAGGGGAACTTCAGAACTCCAGTGAAAGATGTGGTTGGCGGACAAAGCGTCAGAGGGTTGGAGATGCCGACCGTCGAGGAAGAGAAGGATATGGAGGAACGCGTGAGGGACCAAGGGCAACAGATCACCAGTATGCAGGAAAGCCTGAGTCAAATCCTCACTATGCTCAAAACCCGAGAGGAGCTGGAAGGCACAAGGAAGCGCAACGACAAGGGTAAAGAAGTGAAGGGGGAGGCTCCGCCTAGCCCATCTCAGACAGAAGATGGGAGGTCCGCAAGCGAAGAGAGCGAGGAGGGCACCCACCTTGACCTCCTCGAAGAGCACCTGCGTGGCACCAAAATCTATATATACACCCACCACTTTATTATTATTATATTAAAATCCATCCCAAAAAACACAGACAATCAACTTATCCCCAATTCCCTATCCACCAAAATTCGGAAATGGTCTTCAGCAGTCAACAGCTACACTACTCCGACTACTCTTCCTCATCATCCCCAGTGTCCGACTGCACCGGCACGCCTTCGTCGGCGGTGAATAATCACAGCCACCACCAGCTGGCGGCGGAGGTGCCGAAGAAGCGGACAGGGAGGAGGGTGTTCAGGGAGACGCGCCACCCGGTGTACCGAGGCGTGAGGAGCCGGAAAGGCGGCAAGTGGGTCTGCGAGCTCCGAGAGCCCGTCACCGGGACGCGCGTCTGGCTCGGAACCTACACAAACCCTGAAATGGCGGCCCGAGCTCATGACGTGGCAGCGCTGGCGTACCGCGGGAAGTCCGCCTGCCTCAACTTCGCCGACTCCGCCTGGCGCCTCCCGGTTCCGGCTACCACCGACCAGATCGAAATCAGGCGGGCGGCGGCCGAGGCAGCCGAGTTGTTTCGCCCCCGCTCCCCCGCGGCGGCGCCGGCGGCGGATGAACGGGATTATAGTACAAGTGAGAATGGTGGGACTGATGACAGTGATGTTGACGTGTTCAGTTATGTGGAGGAGGTGGAACTGGTGCGGATGCCGGAGTTGCTGCCGGAGATGGTGGAAGGGCTGCTTATTATGTCGTCGCCGGTTAGCTACGGAGCCGAAAGCGACGGGTGGAGCTACGTGGAGAGCTGCGGTAATGATAATAATGATGATGCTGTTGCTGATTATGATTGGTCGCTGTGGAATTATTAGTTTGGTGTAAGATATTTGTGAATATGTCGATCAAGCGAGTGGTTTAATTTTTGTGCAAGAAAAAAAGGTATGTGGCCTTGTTTGTTCAACCATGTGGTATGAAAATAGTTGTTACACTTACCCGTTTTTGTTTGGTTTGTCCTCGTCAGAATTCTGTCCTATGTTTTTTAAGGGAAAGCAAGATGTGCTCAGAGTGTTTTTGTTTGAGCATGTATGGGTTGAATGGGAAGGGATTAATGATCCATGTATATCGTTTGTTTGTTGTAAAAATGAATGTTATTGACTTACAAGTTGCATCTATTTGGACAAAATATATTGTGCTTATTGACATTTGTTATATAAGAGGTAACAAGAGGTTATGTGAAATGAATAACATGAAGGTCACTTCATAAATATTATCGAATTAAGTAACCTAGCATTACGGAAATGCATTACGTTGCGACTATTTACCCGACCATTTGTATCCTTTTTGTGTTGTTGTTCTTTTTGTGTCTCTTCTTCCCTCTCTCTCTGATTTTAATGACTCCCCCTTACAATTTTAAAATCCTTTCTTGAAATGTTTTGCGGTGCTGACAACAGACGTCTTAGCCGTGCCCTTAACCCGTTGTTGCAGACTCATAAGCCCGATTTCCTTTTTAATATCGAGCCCCAAATCAGTGGGGATCGGCTAATGATGTTTGTGTCATGCTTAATTGGTTTTGCAGAATTCATTAGAGTCGATGTCGATGGCAAACATAGCGATATATGCCCGGTCACGAAACCTGAAGCTTTTTATATCTCCTTAGTCAATACCAGTAGACAATAGTAATTTTCATGCTAGTCATATTGATCGCTTTGTTTGTAATGCAAAATGGAACGTATCCTTCCCAAATACGGAGGTGAACCCCTCCCCAAGCTACACTTAGATCACCTTCCCATTCTCATTGTAATTGGAAGCAACTCTCCACGGTTGTCCAACAATCGACCCTTTCGGTTTGGAGCTACATGGCTGATGCATGGGAACTTCCAAGATGTGGTTAACAACAACTGGAAATCTGATGCTCCGTTGGACCAAACTCTTACACAGTTGATTGCCAAAATCCCTACTTGGAACAAAGAGGTTTTTGGTGTCATCCATCACAGAAAGCAATGTCTTTTGGTTCGCCTCCAGAGCATTCAAACCAAGCTTGCTAGTGTGCTTTCTCTTTTGGCCTTTTTAAACTCCAATACAATCTCAAAAGTGACCTGAATGACCTGTTTGTACTAGGAGAAACACTTCCTTTTCCCACCACCAAGCCACCAAAAGAAATAGAAGGAATACCATGCTAGCCCTTACACACTCCAAAGATGAATGAGTATATGATCAGCAACTTCTAATGTAGGATGATCATGTGTAAATGAACAAGATGCCTTGTTATTAACTTCTATATCTATGCTTATCTTTTCACGTAGGATGATCATGTGTAAATGGACAATCTGCCCAAAAATCGCTTCCCTAGAATCTACCAGGACAGGAGGATCTCGTTGCTCTTCTTCGCCCTCACAGCATAGCTGCCTTCCACATGGCAATCTTTAGCATGACGCTGCAGCCTGCGCCAGGCCCTTATGGCTTTCAAGCCATCTTCTATAAGAAAATGTGGTAGCTTGTGGACAATAGTCTAACAAAAATGCTTGTTGACTTCTTTGAGACAGGATTGATCCCGACTTCTACTATGGACTCGACCATGGTGCTCATTCTGAAGGTCAACCATCCTGAGATGGTGCTCAATTCCGACAAATTTGCCTGAACATCGTCTGTCTTAAGGCGTTAATTAAGGTGCTGACCAACCGACTTAAAACCAATCATGGCGAAGCTGATTGTCCCAACTCAAAGCAACTTCATCCCGGAATGGCAGGCAACAAATAATGTCCTCATCTTACAAGAAGTTCTACACTTCTCGAGGACGAAAAAAGGTGGAGAATGAGGGATTGTTATAAAAATCGATCTTGAGAAAGCTTATGGTCGCCTTCGCTGGGATTTTATTACGGACACCCTGATGGAGATTGGGCTTCCCAGCACTTGATTAGCAGCATCATGTTTTGCGTTGAAATTATTTAGAGATTGACATTGGGATAGTGAAATTAGTTAGAGATTGAGATTTTGATTGATTTAGATGTAATTATTATTCACGATTTTGGTATTTGGTACCGGCATACCGATACCGATTTCCACCCCTAACTCAACGATGAAAATATTCATCGCTAAATCATTATGTGTAAGTATATTTCAGTGACGAAAATATTCTTCGGTCATAATCTGCGACGTGAATTTCCATCGCATAAAAATATTTTCGCGACGATATAGTTTCGTCGCAACATTCGAAGACGACTAAATGCATCGCGAAAGATGCATATGTTATAGGTAACGAAATTTTATGTCACAACCTTCTGCGAGAACATGATTCGTCGCATAAACGTAAGTTTTTAGCGACAGAAGTGCATTTTTGGCGACGATTGCATTTATTTTATCGCATAATTTTTTGGAGAGGCGTTATATGCGGCGGAGCTTTGACTCCTTTTGTGACACACGATTTTGTCGGCAATACCTTTTGCGACGAAAATCGAACCAACCGACCCAATTGAAATCTAGAGAATTCAATTTATGTATATTGAACCAACCCAAACAAAATAATGGATCATATATATACCTTGAACATCGAACCAACCGACACAAAACGGAGTATTCCCATTTCAACCAATACATGCTCAAACAAAACAAATATACTGTGAGCACATTTAGCTTTCTGTATCCCTTATAAACATGGGACAGAATTCTGAAAAAGGACGAACCGGAACCAAACACACAAAAGAACTGGAATCAACTAGTTTTGAATACTTGGTTCAACATCTCTGGACAAACAAGGCCACATACTTTTTTTTTCTTACCCACTTGAGTACTCCGTCCCACAAATATCTTACACCAAACTAATAATTCCAAAGCGACCAATCATAATCAGCAACAGCATCATCATTATTATCATTACCGCAGCTCTCCACGTAGCTCCACCCGTCGCTTTCGGCTCCGTAGCTCGCCGTCGGAGACATAATAAGCAGCCCTTCCACCATCTCCGGCAGCAACTCCGGCATCCGCACCAGTTCCACCTCCTCCACATAACTGAACACGTCAACATCACTGTCATCAGTCCCACCATTCTCACCTGTACTATAATCCCGTTCATCCGCCGCCGGCGCCGCCGCGGGGGAGCGGGGGCGAAACAACTCGGCTGCCTCCGCCGCCGCCCGCCTGATTTCGATCTGGTCGGTGGAAGAAGGAACAGGGAGGCGCCAGGCGGAGTCGGCGAAGTTGAGGCAGGCGGACTTCCCGCGGTACGCCAGCGCCGCCACGTCATGAGCCCGGGCCGCCATTTCGGGGTTTGTGTAGGTTCCGAGCCAGACCCGCGTCCCGGTGACGGGCTCGCGGAGCTCGCAGACCCACTTGCCGCCTTTCCGGCTCCTCACGCCTCTGTACACAGGGTGGCGCGTCTCCCTGAAGACCCTCCTCCCGGTCCGCTTCTTCGGCACCTCCGCCGCCAGCTGGTGGTGGCTGTGATTATTCGCCGCCGACGAAGGCGTGCGGCTGCAGTTGGACGCTGGGGATAATGAGTCGGAGTATTTGAGCTGTAGACTGCTGAAGACCATATCCGAATTTAGTGAGTTGATTCTGTGTTTAGTTTTTGGAGATGGATTAATATATCGGAAGTTGTGAGTGAATCTGGAGGGAAGTTGAGGGAGTAGATATAGATTTTGGTGCCACGCGTTCGGCGCCAAGTTGTTTTGTAGAGTGGGCCCAATTAAGTTTGCTTGGCTGGAGGAAACAGACAGAGTGACTCTCCTGCCACGCTTTGTCCATTTGGGGGCAAAACTGGGGATCGATCACATGTATGTATGGTCACTCAAGTTTTGGATCACTAATAAATTGGCCACTCAAATTCATCTTTTATCAAATCCTATTACCAAATAACTCTCCCTTAAACTCAATTTGCTTCATGATCTAAATGATATATCTCATTTGGAGTCATTTGAGGCATATAGAGTATCGTATATTTCAAGAGTACAACAGTCAAACTCATTAAAAAAATTGTAGGTTGTAATCGAAAGATTGATGATAATTTTCATATTTCATTTAAACTTACGCTTTTACAGTTCACTTTTAAGCTAAGTTTTCACTCATTATTTCTATGTTATTAGAAACTATACTTTGACTGCATCACTACCAACATATGTTATTTACTCAAATTAAAGTGAGCTACAATCGGATAATCGAACGCAAATTTCCATTCGTATGAAGTTATATACATTTTATAGATAAAGGTTATGGGAGTCATCGTGATTTAAAAACCAGATCGCGTCTGTACGCAACGATTTGTGTAAATCACATATGCGATCCGAGTAAATCGTTCCATTTTCTAGCAAACTAGTACTGAAATCACTGGAAACTGCAGTGAAGCAGTCCAAACGCTTGTATTTTGTGAAATTTTTGTATAACTGTGATATTGTGACAATATTTTCAGTAACTGTGACATTTTGAGGGGGAAATTCATTTACAAGAAACATGACTAAAGCGGACAGAATGACTGACAGATTCTTTTAAAACTTCGATAAGACTTAAAAGCGTATATAGTGGCCATTGTGCTGAGATTCCTCAACTTTAGTGATCGGTTGTGTAATTGTCCCTGTGATAAGTACCTGGACTGGGAAGAGTTGCAATACAGGAAAGTAAAGGGAAGGGAAGAAAACGAACCTTACTTTTACTTCACTATCAAAGAAAAATGGAAACAAAGGTTGGTTCCTTTTTTTGGCCTGGTGGGGCACTTGTGGTGGTGACCCTAAATTAATTAAAGCTGCTATTTTTGTGGTTGTTTGGCTTATTTTCAGTCTTTGATAGTGTTAATAAACCAAAGTCTTGGACACCAAAACTTCTTCCCCTCCCTTACCCTCAAACACCACATGCTCAAGTTGCTCTCTCTCTCTAGTTCCAAGAA